TTGTATTCTCTCCATCTGCAATGGATTATAGTGTTCGTAAGTTGGAAAAACCGAATGAGGCTGACAGCTTATACTTCGAAGAAGAGCAGCCTCTCGGGTAACGTAGTTTAGTTATGTTGATTTTTCCATTTGATTTCTTCTATCGTGTGTATACTGTATTGGACAAAACTAGACACGTGACTGAAATGACACGTTTTGGCAACCCTCGTTTTCAGTCGTTCTTAATCTTGTCCAGTCGAACGTTAAAATGAACAGAAACTCATTCTGTTTTCTTCATTTTGTAGATCATGGGAACAACAGTTCGTCTTTGGAGATGACTTCAACAATTGTGTACCAAGTCTATTTGGATGTGAACAATATTTACTACCGTATCAAAATAGCTATACTTCCAACTATGAACTAGCTGATTTCGAAGAAATTTCTGGTGAATTTGACTTGTGGGATTCGTCAAACCTACAATCTCTTTACACTGAACTATGTGTTGACGCTGAGCCTTTGAAGACAGCTATGGCTGATTCTCATGCCCATCAAAGTGAAAATGTTTTGAGTGAAGCCATGAATGTGGGTTATGGGAAAGAATTAACAGTTTCAGACAGAAACAATGGGATGAAAATGAAAAGTGTCGGAAGATACAAATCTTGTGCACTGGAATTGGATGAGATTCAGAAATACTTTGATGTTCCAATAACTAAAGCTGCCAAGGAATTGAATGTCAGTTTGTACGTCTTAAAGAAACGATGCAGAGAACTGAACATCTTGCGATGGCCTCATAAAAAGATAAAGGGCATAAAGTGCCTCATCGATAATGTTAAGGTAAGTCATCTATATAGAGTGTTTCATATAAACTCCTTTTAACACCATTTTAAACTTAATTCTCTTCCAGTCGATAGGGGAAATAGGGGAAATAAGTATTCATGTCTGAGATTGCTCAGTTTGTTGTTGTTAGATTTATGTCAACGGTATGGTGGTCGTATGAATTGTTAGTTACGGGATTTCACTTAGCAAGTTTCATTTCATTTTATTTATTTATTTTTTTTTTATTATAGGAACTGGGCTTGACGAATGAGATTGAAATCCTGGAGGAACATAAAAGGATGCTAGAGACGCTGTCTGAAACGGAACTAACTGAAAGAACAAAGAAACTGAGGCAAGCTTGCTACAAGGCCAAGTTCAAGAAGAGAAGGTCCATGAAGCCTTCTTTTGCTTGACCTAATATTTTGCTTGTCTTCTGTTTACACTGTTTCATCTTATTTTATTTATTATTCCGGTGCGCTTAAGCGATAGATTGTGTAAGAAAACAAACGAAACAACTTTTTGAAGTTAGTGTCGTTTTTTAATGTATATTCATATCCACATCAATATAATTGCATTCTAACTCCAAATATTTTCTCAATGAAAATGATAATTTCTCGGACAAGTTTTGAAGTCCAACAATTGAGATATATTCCGAGTTATTTATTTTGTAATGACATCTCTGATCTAATAGAACATATGTTAGCGTTCATATTTGCTTATTAGAGTTAGATTCTGGGGAATAACTCCTTTGCTTCGGTTGGAAAATCTAAAGAAATTAGTAATTCCCATTTTAATTGGAAAAATTATGTATCGACTCAACTTTTGATATACACAATTAATAATACTAGGCACAAAACATTAGGGGAAAACCAAATGTCCTAACTTACCATGCCAAAAGTTATTCCAATGCAACAATGCAGGAATTTCTTCTTTAGGCCAGGAATATCAAACTAAAAAGGCACGTGCAGAGACATTATTTTTGTTAGACTCAACAATAAAGAAATTACGATGAAATACGAGAACCCTCAAATTTTCAATCATGAACACCATCTTTAAAGGTGACAATGAAAGGATGTCTACTCCCAAGGTCACAACCATACCAAAACATACATCCCTGTGTGGGTGTGGTCAACACTTTCAAAATATGGTTATCAATTCAAGAACATAAGATGCACCGCACCTACTTTTTTCAGGGTAAGAAGGGATAGAGAAAAATGCATCAAGCAGTAATTCCATCATAGCCATTGAGAATCTCATCATTTCTTCATTGGGCCAATTAAGAGTTAGGAAAACTGATTATATGGAAAAAAAAATACTTCATGAAGTAATGCAGTTATAGTATTAACATTCTATGAACAGGTATAAAGAATCAAATACCTAACAAATAAGAAAGCAGCACTTTCATTCATACGTCTAAGCATTAAATTTGAATTCATTATCTCAATGACTCCTCTATAAAGAAACAATTTTGCATTCGACACCTATAATAAGTGCATGTATACACAATCGAAAAAGGACCAATTAGCAAGTAAACAAGAGAAACATAAATATAAACTATTCCCATGATATTATAAACTTTATTGTTAAAAATCAACATTACCAACAGAACAGAAGCAAACAGCCATGGCAGAACAGCAAGATAGCTGAAAAAATGGAATTTGCATCGTTTTCTGAATCAACTCAACTATCAATGCATTTGAAACCGCGACAAACACACAACCAGACAATGAACAAGATGGTGCAGACGAACAAATCAAGCGATAACACGATCCACGCTTGCTTTTTCCAAACTTTCTTGGCTTTCTGATGGTTGTGGTTTCCCATCAATTGACATGAGTACATCTCATTCTTGTGCATTACCGCTGAAAACTCCCGGCTCAATAAAATCCCGTCCCTATCGTCATCTTCAGCCCCAACGTCGACCTTCTTCTCGATACCTCCTCTACCCTTCATGTCCCCGCTACCAATCTTAAAATTCACAAACATTCTATTCTTCTTCTTCTTCTTCAAGTTCATCGACGAATCCCCATTTGGCCCTCCCAAATGGCCTGAACCGGAATACAAACTGTCGCTTTGGTCAAATCTTTCACATATTGGAACCGCTGGTTCCGATTCCGGCCCCGGACCCAGCAATCGATGGAAAACCGGATTAAATTCCCCCTGAAAACAATGAGCACTCACCCGGTCCAACCTCTTCTTCCCCAGATCGCCCTGGAAAAACTTGTCAAACGTTTGTTTTGCGCTCTTGAGGAAGCCCAACCCCTCACATTTCTCCAGTTTTTCATCAAAAATCGCGAAATAAATCAAAGGGTCATCGATCAAGAAAGTGTAGGTTTGAGACCGGACGGTGTGGGTGAAGATGGAATGAAACGACGGCGTTTTCTCCAAACATTTTCCTGCGATCGATCCAAGTTTCTCATCCTTCGAATTGAACTCAGCCAACACCGTGGTACCCCTGGCAATGCACACATAATGAACCAGATCCGGTGCCGAAATCATCATTCAAATCCGACCCGACCCGTGTTGTTTATAAAAAAACCCACCCGCGCACGTTTCTTGTTTTGACAGATTCTGCCGCAATTAAAGACAAAATTTATATGCTCAGAAATCCTGATTGTCTTTTTGAACGGGGAAATGTGAAAATGGCATTGAGATCGATGATTTTTTAGGGTTTCAGAAAGGTATCGGAAAAGGAGGAGGTGGAGAGAGAAGAAACACTTTCAACAACCAACTCTTCCACCACCCTAGGGACGCCGTAGTCAGTTGCCCTCGCAATAGATGGGGGAAATAAAAAAATATCTCCTATTTCCATTTTGTATAATTCAATTATTGACAGTAAATTATTAAAATAAAATAAAATAAAATAAAAAACACGATTATTCTTTTCGGTGATATTAAGAGAACAAGTGGGAATCTTTCATATTTCTTGAGTTCATGGGTGCTTATGATTGATAATCAAGATCAATTTTAATTTATATACACACAATATCCAAAATTACACGTATCACTACTATTAATTTACCTAATTACTCTCCAATAAGATCTACTCTCATGATTAAACGACGAATTAAATTGAACTATGATGGATAAAACTAAATTCACGAGCATGCTCATTACAGACTTGAATATAAGATAGAGATATATAAGATTTTTATTCGTGGTTTAATTTAATTTTATATAATCCAACATACCCATATCGTATACGTATTTGTTTGGGTTTCCTTATAGCTCATTATAATTTACTTTTCAAAGCAAAGACTAATTTTAATCGCACATTTGCATGACTCATAATTACTATTTGTTTTTAGTAATTATAATTTTATCAACTAAAAAGAAAATTCAAACAAGACAAAAAGTATATTTCTTACAGAGAAACTTAGATTGGAGTATATTATCGATAGACCAATATTATTATTACATTTTGACACACTGTTTTCTTCTCATGGAATTTACTAATCCCTAAAGGAAGGTAGAGTAAATAGATTTTAAGTTATGAACATACAATACAAACAATCGAACACTTAGAAAGTGTAATGAAATTCATCCTATAGTAGAAATATCTATATCAGAAGGAAGCACCGATAAGAGTGAGCAGGGAATAGTTGGAATGCCGGTCTTTGGCTAGAGATGCAAGTGATAGTAGACATTGATGTACGGAACCCCATGAGTTCTCTCTTGGGATAATTATCCAATCAGCCCAAATTATGTCTCCATTCGCTACTGGATTCTGGGCTACGGCCTGCAATGCATTTTTCCGGTCCACGTCGATTATTCTTTGGGCTTGGGATCCTTGAAGCCTGATAAAATGTTGGTCCACCTGAGCTGGATGAGTCATAGCTAAGCCCATTCATAATCTCCTTTTTGGTTGATGAGTTCCACTGGGCTCCTTGTGCGCTTTGCTGCTTGACTGGACCGTGGTTCTTTACTTTTGCTTTTGCAGACTTTGTTGGGGCCATGTAGCTAGGGACATCGTTCGAGCCAGTACGTTGTGGTTTTCGTCTGGTGTACAGGCCTGTCTCAGTTGGGCCTCCGCTGTGTCGGCCCATGTTCACGTTTTCTGTGATCGAGTCCTTTTCAACAGTTTCCTCAGACATCATGTCTATTGTGGTACCTGTCACGTAGGAACTTCCGAGCGCCACCATTTGTCGAGAATCGTAGGGTCGTGCACCCATCCACTGATCGAGCCAATTCCACCCCCATTGGGATTCTTCGCTCTCGGGGCCGTAAATTCCGTCATCGTCAAAGTTTTGATTAGAACCTAAAACTCGTTCGTGTTGTTGCTATTAACATATATCCAACATTAGTACATTGTAAGTTAGGTCATGTTCAGAATGGTTGGCCTAGAATAAAAGTTTACTACTTAAAAGAATATCCAACCTGGTAGTAGGCCAGAGCTCTCTCCCTTTGCATTTCAGAATCATGTTTCCACAGAGAATTTTTCCTGGTAATTTTGTGGGTTTCATTTTGACTCCATTTCTTCTTATCTTCTCGATCTAGTCTCATTTTCTCTTCTACTTGTTCATGTAACTTGTCGTGGACTAGTTGAAGTCTTCGTGCACGTACCCTTGACTGCACGCGTACAAGTGCTTGCATGCATCGCATTGTCATCTGAGCTTGCTTGCGCACATTATGGCCTCTCACTAGAGCTTGCAGCCTTACCAATCCTTTCAAAGCTCGTAATGCTCGCCTTGCCTACAAGTAAGCAAAAGTAATCATATATCACGAAATTGATACTGCGATTAACTTCCTTTCTAGAAAAGTAACTTTTAATCACTACCAAACATGGCTTAAACTTGAAGCGATGTCATCAGGCAAATTTCTGAATTTAAATCCAAGAAACATACAACTGGGACTCCTGTAAAGTTCCCAAGTTTGAGGTTATTGTCTATAAAGACAATCTATAGAATTCTTATGTTTTAATGGCATTTTTAGTAAGGTGGATGAGAAAAGAGAAGCTAAGATTTTGTTCGTTCTATTCATCGGAAAATTGGGAATTTACCAGATATCCTCTGTAATAGGATTGTATAACAGTTGCTGCCGTTTCTTCCTTGGAGAGTCGTCCATAACCGGCCAATCTAATGACTTTGGCGGCTGCTTGAGCAGCTGCAACAGCAGCTTCAGCCGCAGCAGCAGTCGCCTCAGCTACAGCAATAGCATGATTCTGATTTTCAGCCACTGAAGACGACTCAATACTCTCAACATTTGTAACATCCGAACTTTCAACCGGGAAATGTTCAAGGGACACAACTTCTGGCACTTCGAATTGCCATTTCTCGACATTTTCCTTCTAAGAAACCCAATCAAGTTCCATAATTAGCAATCATCATTCATCACTTAAACTAATAAATCTACACTTCAAAAAAAAAAAAAAAATCATGAATTTATATTCTTGTCCCTTGAAAAAAAAAAATCAAATCAAATGGGTGGAATGATTGGGATCTAATAAGAGTAAGCACATGATGATCAAGTTGGTTTGATGTGACAGAAGGATAGCAATGTGTCATCAGCTCTACTTTTTATTCGGCAGTGTTGATTAGGGGACCAGATATCTACAAAATTTTTACGACCCTAAAGAGTTAAAGGATTAATCCCTATTTATAAGAACCATAATAAAACGATAAAACAACCAAATTACGCCCATATTCACAATGGATTTGAGAGTTTACATTAAATATAATAGTGTAAGGCAATCTTATGCTTTGGCATATCTACAGATCGATCAAGAACATACACATTTATATTTGAACACAGTTCCAGCTCAAGGTAACAATGAGATAGAGAAATCTTGTCCCAAATAAAAATGAAATAGAATTCTGATTTCAGTCAACTAACCTTCTTCTCCGACGAGTCCTTTGAAGGGTGCTTAAACACCTTCTTGACAGTTGAAAACCAGCCACTGCCTTTCTTCCCCATTTAGTTTTGTGGGATAAAAACTGAAAAATAGAAAATGTGAATAACATCAAAATCCCAGAATTTTTCTAAGATTTCATTCATAATATTGGATCAAACCTTGTAGAGAGTATTCACTTGTCATTTCTTCTTGATAACATTAAGAATGCAACAAGCTATAACGCAAACATCAGTAAAAGTATAAAGAAAACGTGTTGGTATAGAAAGAGAAAGAGTGTGTATTTGTGTGGTTTTTAGAGAGAGAGAGACAGATAGAGAGAGTCAAGAGGAGTTGTAACTGAGGAGCCGCTCAATTGCCGCTGGAATTTATTATTCTCACGGGATAGTAGACTCTTCTGAGTAATACATACAGTTGGGATCAGCCAATGGCCTGCTCACACGTTTCCTTTGACCTGGACACTCGAAATAGTAAATATATGACGGTGCTTTACATCCATCTACAAGTTAAAATCATATTTGATTGGTGATTAAATTATATTTAAGTAATTATAAGTTGCAGATTCTATAAAATAAGCAAATAATAAGTTAATAGTAATTACAGATCCTACCAAATACGTAGATAAAAAGCATATTTGACCAGAAGTGTTTATAAAGTTGATCACCAGCCAAATATGCACTAAATTATATTATTGTTAAGGGTATCACATTCTCCGTAAAAATTATGAGAGGTAGATAAGCTATTATATGACTAGTTGTTTAACTCGTTTGTGCATGCATACAATTCCAACAACATACGCGTACTTAAACACTCCCTACTCAACTACATTAGAATTGTTTTTAAGTTCTCTCTTAAACTTGATCGTAACTTCTATAACTAGATCGTCGAATATATAACACATTAAGCACCATGATGGTTTCAAATATATTTTTTTCCAAGTATGCCAGCAATTGTAGATTTTGTGCATCTACAAAGTTGGAAATCATATAACAATACTACTTACCAATACATATCGAAAACAAATGCTAGCAAGTTTTGTAAAAAATGGAAGTTTTGTATGCTAAATCATTGCAGGATTGACTATTAAGCCCCTGTATTATATAGCCAAAATTAATTTTTTAGTAGATTTTAATCAAAGTTGTGGATTCTATTAACTGTATGTTTGAAAATGAGTTTGAAAAAAGTAAATTTTAAAAGAAGGGGCCAAACATGGACTAATTAATGTTGGTGTTGTCAATTGAAAAGTTGGGCATGTTGCAACTTTAGAGAATTGTAGGCAATGAAGTGGCGATATGAATTCCTTATGAAGCTTTGCTTTGATGTAATGTGAAGTTTGAATATGATCATCAGAATTGCAATTGAGAGAGAAATTACAGCCTTAGGTCAGGTGGATCACTGTCTTTAGTTTGCTTGCTTCCAAAGGAAAATTGGAGCTAAATGTTCATTGTCCTCTCAACTTTTTAGATTGGTTTGATTGAATGTGGAGATAAGCACCTTTCGCTTTAATATTTAAACATACATTTATCTCTATGTCCGAGTCCCTTTATTTATTTATTTAATATATATACGAATGCATGGTTAAAGATAGGGAAAAATTTTGAATTTACATGTAAAATGTTTTATTGTGAAAGTGTGATTGAAAAAAAAAAAA